ACTTCAACACAAGACTGGTGGAATTTACCTAACTTACAGCATGTCGGGAGGACGGGAGAATAGAACAAAACTTTGCGACGGCTGTTTTTCACTCAAACAGGAGCTAAAACTTCTTCAAGACCGAATGTTTGTGCTTGAATCAGAATTGGGGCTGAACACAACAATACCAGTGAAAGGAAATGGACCACATGGACAAAACGTAAGTTATGATGACGCTATTTCATTTCCCAAAATCAACAGAGACAATTGTTGGAACACATATGGTGCCAAGCCCAAACAAGGCAAAGCTAATGATAACAAGAGTGTCATAATGCCACAGCAAAAATCTTTAATTACAAGAAACCGCTTTTCCCCACTTTTGGAAGATGAATCAGCAGTAGTCTCTCAGTCCCAGTCTCAGTCTCAGTCAAGGTCAAATGCAGCTGAGTCGCTCTTTATCGGGGATTCGGCGATAAGAAATGTAAATATGCGTAATCTCAAGGTTCACTCAGTACACTCTGCCAAAGTGGATGAGATAAGGCGGTTGGCTCCGAGGCTTCTGTCTGAGACCGGCGGGGTAAAAAGATTGTTGATCCACGTGGGGGCAGTAGACGTCTATGACAACACAAGTGAAAAGTTGAAACGGGATTACTCTCTATTATTGGACGACCTTGCTAAAATGGACACAAAAATCGTTATCAGTGGCCCACTACCAAATGTGGACGGGAAGCAAATGAAATTCAGTCGTCTGTATCAGCTAAATACTTTCCTACTCAACGAATGTTCACGCAGAGGACTTGCCTTCATTGAGAATTTTAATCTGTTCTGGAATAGGCATGAGCTTTTTGAAGGGAAAGGGCCACATCTGAACACTTACGGAGTAAAAGTGCTGATGGATAACCTTTCTTTTGCCCTGAGATCTCAGCCTGCGCAGCGCGTGCAGCCATCGAAAGGGAGGAAGCCGACTCCAAAAGTCTCTGCACCTCCACCACCTCGAAGGATCTCAACACCACCACCACCTCGAAGGATCTCAACACCACCACCACCTCAAAGGATCTCAACACCACAACCACCTCGAAGGATCTCAACACCTCCACTGTCATCAGAAGCAGCTGCATCATCACCAGCAGCAGCTGCATCATCACCAGCAGCAGCTGCATCATCACCAGCAGCAGCTGCATCATTACCAGCAGCAGCTGCATCATCACCAGCAGCAGCAGCTGCATCATCACCAGTAGCAGCACGACCACCATCCTCATCCCCAGCCTGCTCCAAAGCAGCCACGCCTTCTTCATCTACAGCGCCTCTGAAGCCCCAATCCTCACCCCAGCCTACAGCAGACAGGCCTGTGCTGGGGTTTCCTCAACCACCTGCCCCTCCATTAAAGACTCCCTCGCCACCTCCCAAGGACCTGTCTTGGGTCCCCCCTGCCACGTCCACTCCATCAAGAGAGAATGGGGACACCTCCCTTTGTTTTTCATCCCCGCCTTCACTGTTAGACCTACCTGAACACTCTGCAGGGCTAATAAAATCGGCGATGAAGACTATTCCTCTCACACCCATATTAGCTCGATCTAGAGTCCTGTCCAACATTCTAAACCACTCCCCATATGTACCTCCAAAACCACCTAGGGTTTCCAATTCACCTACAAAAACCACCTCAGCCAGTCCCTCCCCTAACCTCATGACCATTCCACCCCCACTTCCCCCTCGTTCAACATCCAAAACCTCTGCCTCAGCCCACCCCGGCCCTAACCCATCACCTAAAACCCCTCCACCTCCCTGCCCCCCTCGTTCAACACCCAAAAGCCACCCACCTCTCCATCCTCCTCCCCCGCCTTCCCCTACCCCTCTTTTCTCTAAACACTAGGATGCACAGGGTCTCTGCTTCGCAGCCACTGGCAGTCTAGTTAGAGGAGAGACCCGGCTGGGGCCCTGTCATGAAGCCACCTGTGCCATTCCCTTAGTGATAACACAAAGAATACATTACAGAAAAACATCTGGAGTTAATCAGTCTAATCTGGAAAATCTAATTCTTGTTCCGTGTAAGAATCAGCCGACCGCAACCGCTGATACTGAAACTTTGAAACTTGCTACGCTTAATGTCAGATCTCTTTGTAACAAGTCTTTTTTAATCAATAATTTTATTTCTTCTCATAATCTTGATCTTATGTTCATGGCTGAAACTTGGCTTGACCAAAATTCAGAAAATGCAGTTTTAATAGAAGCATCACCACCAAATTTCAAGTTTGAATCTGAAATACGGGAAAACAAAAAAGGAGGAGGCTTAGCTGCCATTTTTAGAGACCACTTTGTCTCCCATAGAATGTCTCTTGGGAAGTTTTCGTCATTTGAATATGTGTCTTTTAAAATACAACAAAAACAATCTCCTCCAATACTCTTCGTTGTCCTATACAAGCCACCGCAGTCATGTCACAGTTTTATTGATCATTTTACCGAGTTGCTTTCAGTTGTATGCACAGATTTTGATAGTTTGGTTATTACAGGTGATTTTAATATTCATGTGGATAATGTTGATGACAGAAATGCAAATGAGCTGAGTTCTGTACTTGAATCCTTTGATCTCACTCAGCACGTAAGTGGCCCCACCCACAGCAGAGGGCACACTCTAGATCTGTTAGTTACAAAGGGGGTGATTATTTCAAATGTAAACGTGGTCGATGTTGCTCTTTCGGATCATTTCTGTGTTTTTTTTGACATGTGTTTCACTAACAAACCACCAGTGGACTCTGCAACTGTTCGAAGAAGGCGCATAAATGAAAATACGAGTGAACTATTTATGGAAATGATAAACTTTGAGAATGCATCGTATGCTACTGTAGATGAACTGTTTAACTCTGTCACCGCTAGTGTTTTGAATGTTCTGGATACCGTTGCCCCTGTGAAGGTTAAAATAGTGAAAAATAAGCAGAAGGCGCCGTGGGCTAAAGCAGACTCGGTCAGGGCACAAAAGAGAAAGTGCCGGAGGGCCGAGCGGAAGTGGCGCAAGTCCAACCTCCAGGTAGATTACGAGATCTTCAAAGATAAGTTGTGCGAGTTTAACCGGGTGCTACGTAGTACGAGAGAAAGGTATTTTTCTGAAATGATTGAAGGCTGCAGCAACAATCTGCGTGTTCTGTTCTCAACAGTTAATAGATTAACAAGCCCCCCTGTTCAAATGCCATTAGAGCTTACTTCCAAACGTAAATGCAATGAGTTTGCTAATTTTTTCAATGACAAGGTTCAAGGCATCAAAAGCGCCATTGTCTCCAATCCACAGATAACCATCCAACAGCCAGAAAGGCTCTCTGAGCTAACTTACTTTGCACCTGTAAATGATAAAACTGTCCAAGAGATAATCTCCAGTTTGAGCTCCTCCACATGCAGCCTGGATGTACTACCCACTAGATTTCTGAAGTCTGTTCTGAGCAGTCTGTTACCTTCACTCACACAGATAGTAAACATGTCCCTTCATTCTGGAATATTCCCAAAGGCCCTGAAAACTGCAGTCATCAGGCCCCTGCTAAAAAAGAGCAGTCTCGATGCTACGGTACTTAACAACTATCGTCCCATCTCAAATCTGCCATTTATGGGGAAAGTCCTTGAGAAAGTTGTCTCGTTAAGGTTCACAAACGATATCCGGCTGAACACTGACGCAGGCAAAAAGTCTCAATCTTAATCTTGTTAGATCTAAGTGCTGCCTTTGACACTGTCGACCATGAGATCCTCTTACAGAGACTAGAGGACTGGGTTGGCGTCACTGGCACCGCCCTAAGTTGGTTTAGGTCTTACCTTGAAGACAGGAAGTACTTTGTGGAGATTGGAAACTGTGTCTCAGATCATATGGCCCTGACCTGTGGAGTCCCACAGGGGTCGATCCTGGGACCTCTTCTGTTCAATCTCTACATGCTGCCGTTAGGTCAGTTAATACGCAGAAACGAAGTTTCCTATCATAACTATGCAGACGACACTCAGATCTATGTCTCACTGACTGCAGGAGAACATGGACCAGTGGACTCACTCCTTCACTGTATCCAACAGATCAGTGAGTGGATGCAAAACAACTTCCTTCAGCTAAACGCAGGCAAAACTGAAATGATTGTCCTTGGTCCCCAGAAACAAAGAGAGAGCGTCATTTGTCACCTACAGTCTCTCTCCCTAAAACCTTCAAACAAGGTCAGAAATCTAGGGGTAATACTGGACTCAGACTTAAATTTTAATAGCCACATCAAATCAGTAACATCAGCAGCTTTTCACCATCTAAAAAACATTGCCAGGATCAAAAACATAGTGTCTAAAGCAGACTTGGAGATTCTTATCCATGCATTTGTCTCCAGTAGGTTAGACTACTGCAATGGCCTGCTCACAGGTCTGTCCAAACAGGCTGTAAAACAGCTGCAGTACATTCAAAATGCAGCAGCTCGAGTCCTGACAAGAACCAGGAAGTACGACCACATTAGTCCAGTCCTCAGGTCTCTGCACTGGCTTCCTGTGGCTCAGAGAATAGACTTTAAAACAGCTCTGCTTGTGTACAAGTCTCTCCATAGCCTCGCACCAAAATATATTAGTGACATGTTAGTCCCATATGAACCAGCCCGGACTCTGAGGAGCACAGGGACTGGACTCCTGTTAGTGCCCAGAGTCAGAACTAAACATGGGGAGGCTGCTTTTCAGATTCATGCTGCTAAAATCTGGAACAGTCTTCCTGAAGATGTGAGACAGGCCTCCTCTCTGACAATGTTTAAAACCAGGTTAAAGACAGTTCTGTTTGGCTGTGCATACAACTGAGGGATTTTATATTTGTATCTTTCTTTTTAATGTTCTGTGATAATTTATGATTTTAATGCTTTCTTGTTTTGTTCAGCACTTTGAATTGCCTTGTGTATGAATTGTGCTATATAAATAAACTTGCCTTGCCTTGCCTTTATTTTTTCATGCATTTTCTGTTGATCTACTAAACAAGAACGATTATATTGAAGAGTAACCTGTCACATTGGTTTAAACAGGAATGTCCGAGCGGCATGGTGAACGAGGAGACATTTAAACACATTTATGCACAGTTCTTTCCACATGGAGGTAAAGTTGTGTTTCTGGTCACGGCCTATCATCACTAATTCTCACTTGATTAAATCTACTTTTCACTTTTTCAGATGCAAGCATGTATGCTCATTATTTGTTCAATGCCTTTGACACAACCAACAACGGTTCCATTAATTTTAAGGTAGAGGCATTACAATTATTATGTCTACATCAAATGCTTTTGTCTCCTGCACTATTAACGAACTCATTTTTTTTTTTTACCTCCATAGGACTTTGTAATGGGTTTGTCCATACTTCTTAGAGGGACCCTGCAGGAGAAGCTGGAGTGGACATTTCACCTTTATGACATTAACCAAGATGGATATATAAATAGAGAGGTATTGTGGACGCTGTGTTTTTGGGACTCTTGAAAGTGTACACACCCAGGCAAAAATGTCTATTTTTTTGCCATATTTTGGGGAAACAGAAACACTTTTTGCCCCCGTAGAGTAGTTTTTTTAGAGTAAAAAAAAAACTACAGAAACTACTCCATTCCCCGTCTGTCAATAGTGTGCATTACATTTAACATATTTCAGCTTGGAGTCTTTTGTGGTGGTTGTGGATGAGGTGCTGTTCCCTCTCTGATGGTAAAGCTGCACAATATTCTTTACAAAAATCTTCCAGTTCCAAGAAATTCCTGTACTGCCTTTTTTGAACTTTACATTTGAGATTTCACCAGAGAGGCTCAAATTACGTTATAAATTGAAAAGAGAAAACAAGTTTATTTTTGACATCATCTGGCTTTATACGGTCACTAACAATTAGGAAACAGGGTGAAAGTGTGTTCTGTTATCAGTCATCTGAAAAAATGAACAAAGCAATGACATCTCTGATTGGGATATATGGCAGACTTGTATATTTGAATGTGTTACTTTTATCTGTGCAGCACTTTGGTAACAAGTTTTATAAAATGTGCTGCATAAATGAAGTGGATTGGATTGGATAACAGCAAATGCATAGCGGTAACATTCCTAAAATGTTTTCTCGTTTCAGGAAATGACAGAGATCGTCAGAGCCATCTATGACATGATGGGAAAGTACACTTATCCAGCTCTGAAGGGGGACGTCCCACAGCAGCACGTGGATGCCTTCTTTCAGGTTTTTCACTTTTACATTACATGCAACTCACAAGAGCTTTTCATTATTCATCACTTTACATTGTTTGCCGTTTTTTTCCCCCTTTAGAAAATGGACAAAAACAAGGATGGAGTTGTAACCTTGGACGAATTTGTTATAGCTTGCCAAGAGGTCAGTACGTTTTTTTATCTAAAACTATTAGGATGGATGGATGCTGGTTTTTAGATTTCTATCCACTCAGTCTTGCATTTATTCCTACAAGTTTTTTCTGCTTTAGAATACTATTATTTCGTGTTGACTGTTTTGTAACTGTTATGTACGCATGTTTGGTATCTGAAATGTTGTTTTGATTTGTCGGCAGGACGAGACAATGATGAGATCAATGCAGCTGTTTGAAAATGTGATGTAGGAGCAGAAGATCCAACACAGAATCCAGAAGAAGCTGGAAGTGTGAATGTTTCCATATCAGGACATTTGACGCTGGACAAAGGGACTTTTAGTTCACTGGACCTCAAATATTTCTGCTGTGATTTGTGAGGGAAAAGAGAGACGATGTATTTACATACAGTATAAAGAAGGCTGCACAATACCAGAAAAGAGCTAATGCACACATATACATTTCCTTTACTTTGCCAAAAAATTGTTCTTATTGCCAAAAATAAACTGCATGTTGTTAGTTACAAGGAACAAGGCCATGAAGGGAATAAGCATCCTACATCCTGTCATTGACTCACATGATGTTGTTTATCACAGTTCAGGGATTAGTGGATATTGACCTGGCTGTCTGTTGCTGAGTAGGCTCGTAGCTGCAGTCATTTCCCTCATCGGTACATGTCTTATAAACGTCTTGTTAAATAAACCTGCATTGTACAACTATCTGGATGTGCTACCTGCTTGTCTCCTGGAGATGTATCTCAAAGATAAAAGCCACCAGTTGCGTGTCAAATTAAACTAAAAGTAATGAGACAAATGTGGCAAACCATAGAATACAAAAAACCTCCCCAACGGAGAGAAGCAGAACAGTCACCAGAGAGTGCAACATTATAGAACAGTAAATATGTAATGTGTCCAAGTAAGACTGTGTTTTTTTGAAAATATTTCAACATTTTTTACAGCTTTGTTTCTTGTTTTAGTGCAATGTAAAATGCTATGGAAAGAAGTGCCCAAAGTAATGGCACATATTTGAAGCAGTGTACGCAATCCTGCAACTGTTCTGTTGTATATATAGATACATATATATATATATATATATATATACAGTATATATATATATATATATAATAGAGAATCTTGCAGGACTGACTGTAAACTTGTGATGCATTGATGGCACTGAGGAGGGCTCCATAAACACCCGCCTCCTCTTTCTAAACTCTAGATGTGATGTCACTCTGATGTGCAGACTTGCAATAGGGCTGAATGAGTGTTACTCATGCTGCTCACTGCGGTGCGTCCAAATGCACCCCCATAATAAAACCGCTCAGGACATGAACCCACGAGCTCTAAAATATTCATCTCTCCTTTTGCTGTTTCAGTGTGTTCTTTGAAAATACTTTTAGTTTGGAGCCATGACAGATCTGCCTGACATCACAGCTTTAGTTTTCGTAATCATATGGATATCAAGGTTGAACTAAGATTTGTTGTAACTCACAGACATAAAATGAATTTATTTGAAGCCATATAAATAAATATTTAAATTCTTAAATTGTGTTAATGATCTGTTGATTTGAAAATGTGTCTTGAATCATGTTCATTCAGTATTCAAACACTGGATATTTTCTAGTTACAACATGTTGACTGAGAATAATATATAGTTATATACTAATAATAGTTTAATTGTAATAGGTTAAATTTTGTTACTTTGATGCCATCCGACACCCAGTAAGAACAAACTAAAGTTATGGGAAAAAATGCTGAAAGGTTGTACTCGAGTAAATGCACAATGGCTTTAGCTGCAGAAATAACTTGATCAGAGCTGGTGAAATAGTGATATAAGGCATGATTTTGGGTGAATAGAGACTTGACTCATGATCCATGTATTCATTTTGAGTTTCTCAATGCTACATTTTGTTGCATGTCTAAAAGTAAACAATCAATTTGAAATGTCTATGGTGTAATTAATATGTTTTTATAGTTTCAATTGTATGAATCAGAACAGGCAATGGGAGTACAATGTAGGTTCCAACAGCAAGAGTAATTTAAAAGTAAAATAACAAATCAGACCACAACATTCTGGGTTCAATGTCTCAACTTTACTTTTTAATCTTTTGCATACTTGTCAGAATAAGCCTTGCGAGTCATAGACACTTTCAGCTTATTGGTTGAAAAATCGGATATATGTAAACTACATGCATGGGAAAAATAGGCTTGAATTAAAAAAACGTTTAGAGATTGAGTTAAATGGATTTTACGGCATTGTTTTTTGTTTTGTTTTGTTTGTTTTGTTTTGTGTACGTACCTGAGAAACAGACATAGACAGTAGTGAGTGTCTCTGTCAGGGCCTTAATCCACACCGCTGTCAGACTGTTCAATAGGTCACTTTAAGTCACTAATGCACTAGGACTGAAAAAACCTGCACTGCTCTTACCACTTTTTGATTGGACATATATCCTGCAACGGCTATATTTTTAACATTGTTTGCACAGTCGTTTGCGCAATCTGAGCGATTCTATCCATGCCAAATGTGTCTGTGGTCTTATCTTATCTCTTACATTCAGTTGCATGTAGTGTCCAGCAGAGGGCGGTGCTCGTGTTTTTCGGTGAGATTTCGCTGTTTGGAGAAGAAGAAAAAGAGGAAGAGGCGGAACTCCAAAGCACGTGGTCGGGTCCTACATGCTCACAGACTGTTAGCTCGCTCCTAGTTCTTCTGGAGAGTGGTCTTGTCTGTGGTCGCTTCTTTGCAGCTCTTTAAACCTCACATCATGAACGGCTTGGAGGAAGAACCCATGGCCCCTCAGACATTCCTTTACGGTGAGAATAGTATCATAGTGATTCCTTACCTCGCGTTTTCAAGGCGAATGTACACATTGCAAGGGAAAAAGACTCGATTATTGCGTCGTTTTTCATTTAACTAAAAAATTAATTGAAAAAGTATTGATTGTGTTTTTGATGTGTGGTTGTTAGACGAATTGTCATGTTGGAACTTTGGAAAGTAATGGTAAGTGGTACTGTTGTACACGTGTTTCTCCTCAACATGGCGTCTCTGATAAAACCATGGATCTATAATAACATAGAACGCGATAATTATTCACATTCTAACAATGTGATCGAAAACATATTTATGGCTTACCTCCATTGAGGTATGTTTTATTCCCGTTTTCAATGTAAGTTATGGTTTTTGGAAGCTGTCACCGTTACATTGTCACAACGTGTCTCTCACAAACGCATGGTACTCAATTTGTTTTTTTCAAATGTCTTTCAGCTCTTAACTTGTATATAATATAAAGTGTATTTAGTTTATTTCCTGTAGTCTCGTTCCCCCTTAAGGCCAAAACTCAAATTTTACAGTAGATCCTTTCATGTATAAACCGTAGCTCTGGAGAGGGAATCCTCAAATGACCCATGCGGCCACCAGATTCATTTTCATTGTGTGTCCCTTCATATTAGTGGGATAATGCGTTGTAATAATCCTAATTTTGATTCAGGAGTGCCATTTTATAGTAATACACTTTGTTAATGTACATTAAAGCTGATCCCACCTCGCTTTGTTTAACTCATGTTGTAATAAAATGTCAGGGCTGCTACGCGTAACTATTACATAGTTTTGTGTTTTTAAAGTTATATATTTCAACTTTTCATGTCTGAATGTGGATTAACGTACACATGTATTGTGCAGTTCAAAGAGTACACTGTATATTCTAGACTCCTTAACCGCATGGGTGCGTGATACTTGCAGCGTCCTCTTGTGTATAGACGTTGTATTGCAGGAAATTGTAAGTGAAAATGGGTCTGACCATGATTTGTCTTGTCCAGGGTGTGTGCTGGAGGCTGGAAAGGATGTGACTTTCAACCCGGAAGATGAGGACTTTGAGCATCAGTTAGACCTCAGAATGGTAAAATACTGGAACAAATAAAAATGACTTCAAACGTACTATTTGAAGTGAAACAAATCCTGATTGTGTTTTCTTGTTTAGGCTTGCGTGGACTCCAGTACAAAGGATGAGCTTCACATGGTTGAAGTGGAAGGACAAGATGTAGAGGGTCAAAAAATAAAAGCAGTTTTAGTTTCACTCAAGCCCTCCGCACTCCCAAGTGTAAGTGATGTTTGAAACTTATGATTTTAAAAACTAATTACTGTAATGATAATTTTATAATGTGTACTGTAGGTTTGCCTTGGTGGGTTCACCTTAACTCCCCCAGTATCTTTTCGACTAAAAACTGGTTCTGGACCGGTTCATCTCAGTGGACAACATCTTGTTAGTGAGTATCCAGAGCTATAAAATTAAGATAATTGTAATAGTTTTATAACTAATATTTCCCCTTTTGTGTAGTGGCAATTGATGACAGTGAGGAGGAAGGTGATGAAGAGGAGGAGGAGGAGGAGAAAGACATTAAAGCTGTACAGCCTTCAAAGAAAAGACCTGCTACTTCTCCTGCTGATAAATCAAAGGTATGTCCCAGTTTAATAAATTTACAAATGTGAGTTTGAGGTAAACAAAGCTTGGAATTCTATTTGACTTTTGTTTTTTGTTTTTACAGAAAAAGATGAAGATTGAGATGGATGATGAGGAAGATAGTGATGAAGATGAGTAAGTGACTTAATTGATCATTTAGAGGGTCGCGCACTCAGAAGAAAAAAAGATTGTGGCGATTGTGTGGCAGTATTTTAACGGAATCAGAAAGATCAGCGGTTTACTATAAGTGGTCCAGTGAGATTTCAAGAAGGGGGGGGTCGTCTGGTCCTCCCGGTTCTGCGCAGTGGATGATCTCCCATAATGCGTTGCGCCAAACACGCCTGTGTGGGTCTCACCGGGTCTCACACACGTGCACAGAGGGGCTCTGACCATCAGAGCGGGAGTTAGAGCGAGAGCTAGACGAGCAGAGTTTGTGGCACTAAAGTCTGGATTTAAAGAAAACCGAATGATTTAAGAAGAAAAACATTTCAGGATGACAAGGGACACTAAAATCCTCACAAAATCCGACCTTTATTAAAGCTGTAGGTTCTCTGTCAGCTGAGGTCGCGCTGTTTTAATTTACATTGAGTTCTATGGGGAAAATTTCTGGGTGGCCAACGTGAATTTAGTCTGGTCTAGTCTGAAGTACCTCGAGAATCCCCCGAGCACATGAGTTATTCAGCTCCAAGCTTGTAATACCCTATCCAGTTATTATAATAGATCCATGGTTTAATCCTGGTTCAGCTCCTGTTTTTTTTTTTTTTTTTTTCCCTGGTTTCGATTGGCACATGTACCTGTGACCCCTTTTCTGCTCTCGATCGGTTGCGAGGATGTTCATTTCAGCTTTCGCTGCATGCATCTAGCTGCTACAAGGCGTCGGGAAAAACGTGCGCGCTGCGACTCACCATTGAGTTTGCATTGAAACTCGCCGTTATACATGATCCAGTCTGAACACAGCTAATCAATCCAATCTTCTACCTATCTGATTTAAACACCGCTTAAGTTTAGACGGCTCCGTAAAGTCTCTAAAGGACCCTGTTGCATACATAGCTGCCTTCCCGCCCGCCTGTTTACTAAGTTTTTGCTGAAAATTTGACCTTCTTTTGGAGGAAAAAATTATCGGGTCAGTTTTCAGCAGGAATACTTAATGCCCTTAAAATGTAGACGTTTGCGTGTAGTAAGCTTATATAATTCTTGTAGACTTGCAAATCAGCTATTGTTGCTACAGGCTGCCACAAGCTATTGTGTTGCTTCAGGTATCCCTGCATTAGAAATGGTGTGGACAACATGTAGAATGGCCATTTCTGTCTTGAGAAACTCAGGTTTAACAGGTGGTTGAGAGCCTCCGATTGTCTGCACAATGCCCTGTAAATATTGAACACTCATGTCCATACTTCTAATGGACATTTCTGGATGTGTGACAGTCTGGCTTTGGTCAAGTAGGATTAAATACTTAATGCGGTTTTGTTTTTAACATTGTACAAGTTGGATATGCATGCAGAGATTTCATTTACCTAAAAGGACAATCGTAGATAGGGATGTAAATCGGTGACCGGTTAACCGGTGGTTGACCGTCACAGCGTTAACCGGTCAAAGCTGTCGGTTAAAAATAAGAAAAAGCGGAGAGGGGAGGTCTCTTCATAACGCTATTTTAAGCCCTATTTGCACGATGTGACGAGCGGGTCCCTATCTAGCTGTGTGCGCCAATGCATTAGTAGACTACGGGCGACTTTCATGGCGCACGCTCCACATATGCACGCAGCCACACGCGCGCGCACACACACACACACATACACACACAAACACTTTCCCCCCCTCCATACGTAACATCCACACGCATCATCTCTCCCCTCTGTTACCGCCAAAGTTCCACACTAGTGCAGGTCAGAACTACATTGGAGCTTATATTTACACACACACACATACATGTATTGTACACACACACACATACACACATACATACACACATGTATTGTACACACACACATACCGGGCTGTCGCGCTCCTCTGTGTCTCGCAGCCCAAAGAATCCTCGCAAATACGCGGCTTCAGTCAAACACATGAAACATGTTTGTGCTGCTGGTCCTTGTCATTAGATCAGATCCACACACATCACTTTTAAACTTTAGCGGAGACCTGCGAGACGCGGCTCGTCACTCGCTGCCCTGACCATGTGGACGAGCTGTCTTTTGCTTAAAAATGCTTTACCCGCAGCACAGTATGGGAAGATTAAAAAAGCAGTTCTCTGTGCACAAAGGTGCCGAAGCTGTTGCGGGTTTTGGCGCTGCTGTCTCAGCTCTGATCTAGTAGAACGCATAGATAAACTTATGAAAAGTACGCGGCTCGAAATGGCTGCTATTTCAAAGAACGTGGAATATTTTTAACTACGCGGTTAACCGGTTTCAACCGGTTAATGAGGCTCGGTGGTCGGTCATGAAAATGCATAGTTTTTTACATCCCTAATCGTAGACGCCAAATTGTTTCAAAATATCCTTATGTTTATGATTGACCTGCAGCGACTCAAGTGATAAGAATGCGTTTCAATCAGCCTTTCCTGACATGCAGCGGGCGATGTTGCACAGTCCAGCGTTGACGCGGACCTCTGAAACGCTTGCCTTGTCTCTTAGGATGACTTTTGTAACCGCGTCCCACTAAACATTTCTTATTAGTTGAAACACACTGTCCTCCTGGCATGCTATGGATGAGAAGATAATTTTTGTAGTGTTTTTTTTTGTCATTTTGCATCTGAAGTGAGTTTGCTGGTTTGGATTCTGAACCACTTGCAACAAAATAGTCACCTTGCACATTAGGACACTTTAGCGTGACATTTTGTGGTGTCTCTTGCTCGTTGTAGGATCAGGTGTAGGACTAACTCCCGTAGTGTAGCTATCTTCCTCTTGGCTTCAAAAGTAGATCAGACCTATTATGATTATCAAATGATTACTGGTACTGATCTTAAGCCCCTTGACACGACGGCAAAAAACGCATAGATGACTTGTCTAAGCACTTTTAACATTGTCCTTGGCATGGGGACCACATTTATAGAGATCCATTTTCTTCCCCTTAATCCCTTTCTGGGTCAGGTGGGTGGCAGTCAGAGCTGCACCCCTCACTGATCCTCCTACAGGTGGTCCACAGGAGCCCTGATCTTTCAGCAGGGGCTTCAGGCAAAGTTAGGTTAAGTGTCTTGCCCAAGGACACAACGACAGCAGTCATCAGTGGGAGTCATGAAATAGATCTTGTGGTGGGCTCCAACCCACGACCTTCAGGCTCAAAGGTCAATGCTCTACCAACTGAGCCACTGTCGCCCTCAAAAGAGAACCCCAATGGTACATTTTATTGTCCCACAAACTTGCTGCTTTTGCTCTCGTAGATTAAAATGTAAACTCTGCCAAAGTGATATTTAGTCAATTCTTGTTCAAGAAGTTTTAAATTCTAGTTTTTGTTTAACTTTTATAACCTCCATGTTTAGTTGCTCGACTAAAACTTAAACTAAAAGAATATACGTTTTTTAAACTTTGGTACAGGTTCTATATTACCCTGGGTTATACACAAAAATTTCGTGGTTATGCCTATGGATTCAGATGTAATAAAATTCCTCTTGATAATGTTTAACAATGAAATGTGTGCTCTTTAAGAGATGAGGAGGAGGATGATGATGATGATGATGATGAGGAGGAGGAGGACCTGACCCCAGTTAAAACGCCAATATCGAAACCCAATACTCAAAATGGCAAAAGCCCAAAACCGTCCACACCTGGCCAAAAAAAGGAGGTAAGGACTGAACTATTTCAACTTGGATAGAACCAATTAATCCTGCTGCTTTATTGACACTGTTACTTTCAGGTTAAGACTCCAAAGGGCAAAGGTGACAAATCTCCAAGAACGCCAGCCACTCCTAGAGAACCTTTGACAGTTCCACAGTTAAAGGAAAAAATGTTAGAAGTTGTCTCAAAGGTATGTGTTCCCCTTCGCTAATATTTGCATTTGCTAGATTAATTGAAATTGACACTTCTTATTCCCCCTGTAGGGTGTAACACTACCCAAGATCCAGGCGAAGTTTGAGAATTTTGTGAAGAATAGTTACAGAATTTCAGATGGAAAGGTAAAAAAAAATTTAATTGTTATTTTTAAGGAATATTACCAACCCGTATTTTTCATTCAGGTTTTTGCAGAACTCTGGGCATGGAGGCAAACTGTTTAACAATGTTTATGGTTTGTCTTGCCTTGACCCATTCTCTCTTCAGTCTGTCAATGGAACAAAGTTGGTCCTGAATGGATTTGTAATTGTAAATGTGTAAATACCATTCTCCAGTTTTAGTAGACTTATTTGTGGTAATGATGTGGGATGCTTTGAGTAATGGTATAAAGGTCAGACAATTGAGGCCAAGCCCAATAAATTAAAATGAATGAGATTTTACATTAAACTGTCTGCAGCACATGACATTATGTTCCAATGTATATGGTTTGAATACTGGTTTTCAAATCTGTTCAGTTTTTTGCATATAAGTCATTTTTAAATGTTGCAAATATGTAAACTATCATTCCAATAATAAAGGACGTTGTATTCAGTTTGTTGTACTTCCTGAAATACCCCACCAGATGGTGTGGTAATGCTCCTTGTAGGGTTCTATCATACGTGAGGGGTTCACTTTTGCAAGTGTTTGATGGCCAATGTTTAAACTTCTGAATAGTATAAGATGACCTATAGTTTCTATAATTGATCAATTACTGTTATGCTTACATGTGGTTAATTCTAAAACTAGTATTTGATCACTTCAACTGGTATGTTTTAGGAGTCAACTCATGCTACACTCAGGTCAACCCTCCAGTGACTAAAGGTACTCAAGCTGTGATCTAAATGATCCAGGGCTGTTCAAGGAATTGAACATTTCCAATTTCTGGCAGGACAATTTGACCAGAGATAGCACATGAGTGGGTGAAGGGGTCTTAACTAGCCCTAGACTTAAGGGTTACGAGTTTACGTGACATTAGGACAACTGGTGCATTGACCAATGCCTTTTGCATTTCCTGTAGCTTTCTGGTTATAAAAAGGGCTAATGGTTCAACACTTGTGAAAATCCAGTAAATTGTCAATGTGTAACCAGGCAGTTGGTATGAGTGTTTGCTGCCAGTAACTCAAGTGGGTAGGGTACAGTACCAGAAGTGGAACGGAACTGCAACCAGGTGGAAACTGGGCTCAACTATTCAATTTAGCCAAAATGGAAGTTAGTCAAGCATGGACAAGAAACTTAATACAAAACATGTAGATTTATTAGACAATTCACACTTCCAGCGTTTGATTACTGATTTGAACATGCATTATGTGGCACAATGTCATACAACAGTGCAGCATGACTAGTAACTTGAGCATTACAATGAGTACTGTACTGAGCATAAATAAGGCACATACAAGGTTCTAACCTGCAGCAGTGTCACATTAATTATCTGGTAACTTATTCAGTGCAGACAGGTTCTACAAGCACTGCTCAAAACAGATAATACCGAGATATACAATGTGCATCCCCTTGGTGCTTTGATGCTGCGTTTTGATAAAAAGTATACCTGTAGGTACACACGGCTATGAGACAAAACATAAAATATTAGGTAAACATAAAAACATACATTTTACAATAACACAGGGCAGCCTTGAAAGTTCAGAAAGCGAAGGTGGCAATACCCTTTCTGTCTGTCAAAACAGCTGGTCATCCTCAGGCCAATGAGTTTGAATGTCAAAACTGCTCCATCCTTTCTGGCTTACACGTACTCCTTGCCTGTGCTGCTTGGAGCTCTGGGATACTTGGATGCAGATACAGATTTGCCTCGTGGACAAGACGCAGCCAGCATGGCACCTCCAATGATGACGAGGAATGCACCAGCCCAGGCGATGAAGATGGCAGAACCAAACTCGTACCTACACAGAGGAATGATGTCAGTAATGCAGTTTACACTATCATTCAGGAGTTAAATTGTGGACATACTTTGTGTTGACAGGGGTGAAGGGATTGTAGAAGGCTTGGATAATGTCATGTGCATACCACGAGCAGGCAACAATCGAGCACAAAGCTGTTGAAAAGTACATTTTTTTAATTGCATGTGATAACAGGTAAAAATTAAAAGCAGATACAACAGTCTTACATCCAATCAACAGGATAATTCCACCAGTCATAGCAATCTTCGATTTCTTGGTTTTGTCATCTGCTCCACAGGTAGTGCACTTCATTCCCATGCAAGCTACACCCAGACCAGCCACTGTTACAATAATGGCCACAATCATGAGAGCACGGGTCGCCTGGAGGGCACCTGGAAGAACCAAGAAGTTTTACCATTAGTAGTGCATCAACCATTTTTAAAAGCCTCTATATAGCTTGTGTTATTCGTTAAAACTTTTCAGTACTGTAGGAGTCAGTCAGAAAGAACCACTTGTTGAAGTATAACAGAGTGCCTTGTGTCTCTTGTGTCATAGCCCCTCCCTAGGACAACGCACCACAGAAACTGGCTCCAACCAGAAGTAGTGAGAAACCATGGGAGGCAGAGGTGGGGTTGGGCCTTCGGAGTTTGTATCTGAGAACAGGTCTGACAAGGTTTCAGGTTTCATTATGAGAAGACACTCCCTATTTCCCCCACTAACAGCCGCTTTTCAGCAGGTGGATGTTTCATGACCTTAAAGTTCTCTGCTCATTTTACTTGGCTGTCAAGCTAAACAAATAAAAGTACTTAATTTTTCAAATTGCTTAAACAAAAAGGTGTTGCTCTTGAACAGAAAGTTTAATCTTTATTACTTAAATCTCATCCATGGAGATTTTTTTTTTAGAGGAACGTTTTATTAATTAAAAAAAGACTAGTTGTAAAAGCAATGTGTACAGGTATACATACAGTAGTACATTACTAGACCACAAAATGCAATGGGCTTAAATTGCCCCATATAGCCAGTCTTCAAAAAGAAAAATAGTGGTCACGCCCCATTAATTTACCCTCAAAAGTTGATGATTTGGGTGCATTAAAAGTATGTTAAAAACCAAAAAATGAATAACAAATTCCTTTAACAGATAAGTTGTATTAGACATTAAAAATGTAATGTGGGCGTAGAGCTTGCTGACTTGCAGTCTATGTTGACCCAACAAATGTGTTGTTGCAAACAAAAGAGTATGTGGGTTGGAGCCAGGTGATTAGTCAGTCCAAAGCCATATCTCTTTGATTTTGAATAAAGCATACAGATGCCAGTCATCAAGACTCCAACAGCTTTCAGAAAAAAAATAAAAACTGTTAATAAGTGACAAAACCGGTTGAACGACAAACCATGAAGGCCTGTGGGTGATCTAGTAATAGTAAAAATCTGGTTTCAAAAGGCCTTCAGCAGGAATATGTACAGCAGTTTTGTATTTTCCAAAATAATCCATTGATTTATGTTGCCTGCACAATTTTACCAATACTCAACATGAATTTGCTTTAATCAATTTCAGGTGAGAATAAACCATCTTATAAACACTTAATCCGTGAACATTGAAATGAGACTTACTGTTGAGTTGCAAGATGGAGTCATACACTTTGCACTGGATTTGGCCTGTGCTCTGGAAGGCGCAGGACATCCACAGACCTTCATACATGGCCACCGCTGTGATGATGTTGTCTCCCACATAAGCAGACATCTTCCACTGGGGTAAGATGGTGCCAATGATCAGTCCAATGAGGCCCAGGAGAGCCAGGGCAAATCCCAAAATCTGAAGACCAGAGTTTGCCATTGCACCTGTTCTGGATGACTTCACACAAACTACACAAAAGCACTCCTGGAGACAATCCTTGGCTTCAAGAACAAAACGGGCCAATGTCTGAAATAATAAATCCGCTGCTTCTTTTCTCTGCGAGTCTTGAGTGAATAAAACAGAGGTGAAGTATCTGAGGTCGCACCTGCAGCTGAACCGCGCCTTGAATGAGGAGGAAGTCGCGGGGACGAGCTTTTAGGCGGTTTCTGCTGCAGGTGGGCGGGGGCGCGCACGCATACAGTTTCGACTACGACGTCTTCAGCGTGCGTTTCATGATGTAAGTTTGTCTAGAGACCACAACATTCCGCTCTTTCACTCCTGTTATAGACATAGACTGACTAAACTTTGAACCCTAATGTTAGGAAACTGAAGCACCCAATTGGCCTAAAAATACCACATTCTCAGAGACGCGTAGGTAAATGAAACCACTTAAGCTAGCTCTTGGTGACCAGACTTTAGAACTATAAAGCTAGCTAGCATCAATGAGGCGATTTAGTGCATTTCTCTTAGCACCTTCATTCTGAGTATGTATTAGTTAATTTTTTATTTTATTTTATCTATTTATTAATTTCAACTCAGATAGAATACAAAATTCAAAACAAACAGGTAAATGACAAACATACACAGTACAAGACATACAAGAATACAGACAGGGACAGTGAACAATGTTTTGTGTAGGTGTGTGTGTGCCAAAATAGATTAACTAATACACTGAGTATGTATTAGTTTAATTTAATTTGGAGAGATGTAGATATTAGACATAGACTTCCACTACCCGGGGTCAGCTCTGGGCCTGTTGCATCCTGCTTTAGTGGTTTGTCCAACTGTCTATCTTGTTAAGGTTTTGTTGTTTTGTTTTCATTCAGCTTGTGATTTGCGTTGATAGAAAATAATGAATACATTTAATTATTTCGTTATTGTAATAACTTTATTAAAGTTCAATTTTTTTGTCTTTCATGTGTAATATCGGTGTATTTGGCCCGCAGCCCACTGGCACATCTTCAATTTGGCCCTTGGAAGCACAAAGTTTGGGCACCCCTGGTCTATTCGAATGTGAAAACTTGAAGCAGAAGTTCCTTTTGGACACATGCAACCTGAAGTTGTGTTTGAACAGAGTTGTCATATCGGAAGTAAGTGTCCATAGCTGTGCCCTCATGCAATTCAATACTTGTTCTTTATTATTAGTTTTGTACTGTGCAGTGAATCAGCATTTAACTACAGTAGGCTACTCAAATATGTCCATATGATGTATTATATGCCTACTTCTTTTTCTCTCTACAACAGTTACAGTTCTGTTTATACTTGATAAACTCGCTTAGGAACAATTCTTCGAAGACTACACACAATGTGTTTTTGTGACAAGCATTGGCATGTTCCTTGCTCATAGCGTATCTATGATTTTACTAGATGGTCTAACAAAAATACTATAGTCACTGGTTTCAGGTGTATTGCACAACAGATATTTGTTTATATTCTTGTTAAGGTGAGTCATTACAAGTGGATGGTTATAAATGTTTTCACCCTCTCACAAGGTCAGATGACTCACTCTGAGTCTGAGTGTCTAAATGGATTCAGGAAAAAAAAATGGGATTGTTCAAACTGAATTACGCCAGCATAGCTCAAAAATATATAAAAATAGGGTTGATTGTATGATATTTACAGTCTCTTAGGCACTACTTAGTTCATTTTAATTAATGCAATATGATCTTTCCTTAGACACATTCAAATTCACAATGCTCCTTGTTCAAGCTGTGTGAGATCTCTGCTTTCCAAGGAAAGTGAAGCTGTCCCAGTCTCATTACAATCATTATTGTTGATTGCAATGTGACTGTCCGGGATTCTTAAACTTTTTTTCTTAGAGCAATATGTGAAATCAAATAGTGACCCAACTCAAGGTAAAAAGTATGACAATTAAAAACATGTTGTTTTTAGTGTTGTTTATTCCTAACTTTACTGAAATAATATTTATATAAATGTTGTAATAATTTTATTGCAATACAATAAGTAAAGATTTACACTGTTTTTTTTATATCCATGCGTCTTTTATGGTGTTAATGCTCTGATGAGGGATAGATACAGTAGTCGCTGAGATCATTGAGATCATTTTTAGCATGATGAATATATATATAGTGAACAGGTGAGTAATACCGACATGCACTGACTTGCCTTGTCTGTTTGAGGTTGCATATTTCATATCATTATCTTGTTTTTACTTTGCTTAGCTTTACTAATGTCAAGATGTGTTAACAGAATTTTGAATCGGAAACCTTTTTGAATATATTTCTTTGGAGTGCTTCAGAGAATACACATACTGTCCTAAAAATGTGAAGTAATGCTGCCCAATTGACAAAAAAACACCATACCCATTTCCATACCTGATTCAGCACATTATTTGGCACTGCAAAAAGTAATACATTTGAGCCCTGACATATAAATTGATGAAATAAGATTCTCAATTATTTCCATAGGTTTAAAAGTAAGACGTTTTAATAAAAAAATAATTGGCAGCTGTACCAACTTAACCTATCAATTGTCTAGAGCAGCCGTTGTCTTTACAGCTGTATTTATTCTAAGTACTTTATGAGTATTAGTTTCTATTAAGAATACTAAACATTCATAGTGTCAAAGTGCAGATCCATAAGATTATAATCTTTGTTATAAATGCAAACACTATAAGATTAGAGCTGCCCCAATAAAGCTGCGAGGATCAGAAAAGTAAACAAGTGCGACCCTGCCTAAGGTCACCTCATCAGGAGGAAAAAGCACAGGCACTAATCTTTCAGATCAATTTAGGTTGTTCTAGGGGAGTGCACCATACCCTAATTAACATAATCACTGGGACATGATCTAACATCCATTTGCCATGGTTATCACAGCAAGAATGTTTGGTCTAATTGAGTGGTGGAGAAGTAATTGCTGATTTTGATCTGCAGGAAACATTTTGGATATTAATCCCACTTCATGTAACAGACCAAAACAATTTAGATTTTTCTAGTTCATCCCTTCTAAATCCCAAACAGCACTAACTGTCAGTGCAGAATAAATACATAAAGGAGGCTAAACAAGTGCACTATTGACAACCTATGTATACTTATCGTTTTCTCTCTCACTTTCAATGGAGGTTGGTTCTTCTCATGCATGGCTTCTTCTCAAACTGCCGCCATGTCATGCTTCGTTGAGCAACACGACTGAAGGCTGAGGGAGGTGGGATGATGGACATTTACACAGTTCAACGGGTAAGTATCCCACTATTATTATATGTTAATTAGATGATTAAATAGTCATTATTATTCATAATTAAAGAATGGCAGTTTATGAATACCTTTCAACATGTTTAAATTACACCATACATATATTTCAATATTTGTTGAAGTCACATTCAATTGTATTTCAAAATGAGAAACTCAGACACCCAGATTACAATCATACAAATATATGTAATTTATTGAATAATATTTTAATATAAGACATCTCCTTTAAATTTATTTTGACGTTATTGTAGAAATGTACACAGGTCCAATGGCAAACATGAAGGAAGGGTTTGTTTTTTGGGGGGGATGTGAGTTTTACATACGGAAGGAGTCAACCCTAATGAGCGCGACAACTGTGACACAACATATGCATGCTTTGCATTTAAAGTTCTCACATATAATTAGTATTGCAGAACAGCAAGTTCCTTTGAAGCCTGCAGTCCGTGATTGTTGAGTGTTAGTTCAAAAATGTTCCCTTTCTTGAAGCGCAGGCTGTCATTGCATAAAACTGGTCTTCATTTTTGCATGGCTCTTTTTGTTGTTTCCTGTGGCTCTCAGTGTTTGAGTCCAACATATCCTGGTGAGTCCTAAGAGGCGTCTGAGGATTCTGATATTTCTTCTGTGGCTTGTTAAAAGTTTATGGCTTTTTTGGTAAGTCTTACTTTTGTGAGGATAGGGGCTTGTTGTTCAATGGAAGACCAAAGATTTTTACACAAAAGGAAAGTAGCTACACTTTCTGGAAGACTTGCTTGACTGTAGCTTATCAATATCACCAAGGTCGTTGCTTTACGTGATGGGGCTGGGATTGGTTTAAGAAGTTACCCTGCTGTTTCTTTTTTTTTTTTTTTACAGATGTTTAACAGTTGAATAGAGGTTATAACAGTTTACATAACAGTACAGATACAATATGATTCATAGAAAACAACAAATCTGTGTGACAAAAATTGGAAAACTGTAGAAAAAGTATTCAGGTTTAACGAGGCCATAAATAATAAACAATACATAAAATAATATTATAAAAACCCTGATAAAAGAAATTAGTGCAATATTACTACAAATGATGGTTTGGAATCAATTGATCTGATTATGGATCTGCAGTGCCCTGTTGTTTTATTATATGTTAGTGTAACCTTCCATGAGTCATGTCAAATCTCTGCCACTTTGGTAAAACTATAGAATACATTATTAATTAGTCACAGCCAGTCATTTAACATGTTTTTGCTTTTCGGATTTGCATGTCCAACAAACATTGAAGACGTTTTCTCAGTAATTATATCTGTACACTAGTTATACAATCCAAATCATGTGGAGAGTCAAATGTCTTGTATGTGTTGTAGAGTGCAATAAAAGCTCCCAAAACATCTATGATGGATCCAGATTTAATATCACCTTTAGTTTACACCCACCACTTTGTTAAAGTCGAGGGCTTTCTGCGTATTACATTTATGACAATAGGGACCACTTAAAGTAGTTAGTCTGCCTCTGCAGTACTCTTGATTTCTCCAATTTGCTTTTGCAGCTGCTGTTAAGAGTCAAGTTTGGCGCTGGAAAATTCTCCTCTGTGATAGTTGAAATTCTGCCTAAATGATTTGACAACACGTGGTTCATTACATGTCAGGAGAAATGTCTGCTGTGATCCCTGGGGAAATTTAGTTTTATGAAACAATGGGGCTGCACAGACTCTTGGTCCTTATTGAACTAATCTATCTTCAGTTTTGTCTCTGCTAGCCTTTATATACACCTTTGATATATATATCACCTCAATTTGATATTTTGACCTTACATGCTCACAGTGACGGATTAAAATGCACATGCAGGAGTCTTACATTTACACTGGTAATAAGTTGTCAGTGCTGGAATGGAGAAAAATAGATAAGTTCAATATTTTTCTCCCTGGAAAAAAAAAAGAAGTTGTTTCACATTCTTGTTTCCATGGCATTTGAAACATACCAATGTAACAGTTATTTTTAACGCATCAAAACCGTAATTTCACATCACTATCACTGTTAATCCAACTTTTCTAATTCATTCTACAGTAACCACATCCAAATGCATCTTGGCTAGACCTCACTGTACACCTTTGTTTACTTGCTGCAATACAATCTCAATGCACGTACAATAACCTTCATAATACATACAATACATATATCATAAATATAGTTTATGTTTGAGAACTGTCCTTTGTTGTAACTGTATTTGTATTTATAATGGTGTTTTAGGGCTGAACATGTTTTTTTTGGACATCTTCAATGCCGTTCGCTAGGTGTGTTTTGTTAATGCGCTAAATAAATAAAGATTGCTTACTTACTTACTAATTGTTTTAATCGTTCAGAAAAAACACCTCAAGGAGCATTATCGATGTGTGAACTGCTAACATAACAATCAATGCTATTTCAAGCACGATTGTAGAGATTTAAATTTCAAGGTTTAGTTAGCAGCGTTTATTTTTCAAAATGAGAATAATGTGTTTTTTCCAATACAAATATGTTTCCGTTTTGCTTGAGATTTTAGTTCAGCTAATATATCTTGTAGTCTCGGAATGTTTTTTGTGTGTCTGAGAGTGAATAATTCTCCCTGTGGAAAACCTCACAAAATTAGAAACTAATTTCCTCCATAGACCTGCTTTATATGCCTCTTTGTCTTACATTCTTTCTCATATCCACAAGCTGCCCGAGACACTGCCAACAATCTTGCTTACTTAACCAGTCAAATTCCTTATCAACATTCCTCAAGAATGCACCTGCTAATCACTTATGGTTTTGAATCGACTGCATTAGCTGACTTCTTTTCTGTTTCCACGTTCAAACATTACACATACAACACATTCAAAAGGTTTTTTCCACTTGCTATTTCATTCTTGTACATCCCATTGTTACCAAATCTTGACTAAAGCCACATACTGTATATCATATCTGCCCTGAAATAAACTTATTGTTTTCTTTTTTTTCTTCTTTTTTTTTAACAAGTGTTTCAAAAGTTAAATTGTTGAAATGATGTCTCTCTGTTTCCGCTCATATGAAAGCTACAAAGGTTAACCGCTCTATCTCCATCTACGTCCTCTTAACTCACACACCTGCAAATCCGCTGGGCAAACATCCAGGACACAGGGAGTCTGAAAATAAATCACAGCAACACATTTCTCTGATGAAATCACAGAAACACGTTTCCTCAAAAAAGATTTTTTTTTTTTCAGAACAATTCTTTCAAGGTGATTTTATAAAGAAAGTGAACGGATAAACTGCCTGACACCTTCTGAATAACAAGTGCTCCAGTTCTGAGGTTCTTCTGGGCTTTGATGTTCAGTTCAAACCTGCTTTGTGCTGACAGTAGACACGGAAAGTGAAGTGCACACTGAGAAGGCTACAACCACTTCACTTTGCAGGTGACAGAGTTCAGATAGTTTCCCAGCCGTCAATATGACCCAGTTGTTAATGTGTTACCTCAGATGTGCTGCTGCAATAAGTTACCATCAAGTGAGAGCTAGATACACTTCTGGTTTTACAACTTCAGCCATTAACTTTTTGAGCACTGTTTTTCCTTTTGGGTAGGACGGGGCGATATCTATCTACAAAAAAAAAAAATCAGAATCAGAGATCAACTGATAAATGTTAAGGCTGATAGCCAATATTTCAAAAACTTAACGTCTTCCTATTCGGCTGATGCTACCATGGCATGTTATATCTCATTTTAAAGGTAATCTTCTCGGGAAAACAACCACGTTATTTATTGTACTGGTTTATTATGATAAAAACCAGTATGATAAATAATGGTTTATTTATCAACTATACAACTATTATGAACTTCCTACATGTTCAATAAGTAAAGCAGCAAGCTGGTATGAACCAGTCCTGAACCTTGGACTGATCTTTTTAAAGCTGAGGTACCTAACGCTTTCGGCCGGAGGCCAACATACTTTAAGATACCAAACCATTTTAAATGGCAGGAGCTAATAATTTTTTTGTGGTTTGAAGTTGAGTACCCCAGCTTTAACATGGACTTCAAATAATAAAAAATCCCATGTGATGATAAAAAAAAAAATGTACACAGGGGACATTTCCTTATTTTGCGTGCCATATGCAGTAGCCCTCGAGCCATTTGTTAATCGATTGGTGACCCCTGCTCTAAATAATGAACCTGAAACCAAATTGCCCCTAAGGGATAATAAAAATACCTTGAACCTTAAACCTTGAACCTAAAAATAAATCTGCAAATCCATCTACAGTACAATACTACAACCCCTTTGAACCAAGCACAACCCCCTGTTTATTTGCGGCCTTTCAAAAAAAACCCGCCGACCTCTAATTATTTGTATTCTTCCCAATTCCTAACAATACTTGGTTGGATTTAATTTAGTTCTAAAACGAGAGTAGAGTCAATCAACCTTGAGCCTTACCAACAATGCACAGAAGTTGCTGGCACATTCTAGGAAAATAAAAACTTCTAAATTGATGCAAAAAGGAAATAGAATCTACATCAGAAGATTTACATAGTCAGTGCAAACAAAATCTTTGTGTTATACATTTTATCTTATCGCCCAGTCCTACTGTGTCCCTCGAGAATTATCGTATTATTTTATCTTGGCCTGGATCAATTTTAATAGACCTTGGTGATAGCTTAGTTTGTCAGATGGTGAAAATCTGATGTTTTGAAGTCAGCAATGATATTCATATAAACCATGACCCTGTGATTGTCAGGTGAGACGGAGAACTGCATATTAGAAAGCGGCACAAGAGTGGAGGTTTTCTCCCTCGGCATTGTTTTTAGGGAGGGGTTGGTGGACGTCTTGTGTTGCCTCCTGATTGACTCCTCTGGACCCCTCTGGCTTTTAAATTGTACTCCGGGAATTCAGTGGCCCATGCGCAGTATTCCCTTTGCCACCAGCAAAGCATAATGGGTTGCTGTGTTTTCACGGTCAGTGCTGCCCTTGTCCCACCTACAGTCTCCTCTG